TTAAAAGTTTTATTTATAAATGTTATGGTAGTTCAGGTTTTATTTAAGATTTTTTAAAATAATAGGTCATATTTAGTGAAATTGAGAATATTATCAATTTTGCATAGTAATATTTCAAATAATTGTTTCACTAAATGATAAAAAAAATAGAGTATGAGATTAAACGGTTTTACTTTTCTATTTATTGGTTTGATTCAATTATCCAATAAAACCGATAACATTATCAGTTTTTTTTTTTTCAGTTTTGAAACTGAGAACATTATTAGTTTTTTTCATTTTTAGAGTTTTTTTTTTTTTTTTTTTTTTTTTTTTTTTTTTCAATGATTTTTTTTCCCAACTAATACTAACCGAGGGGGCAATTGGTAATGCTACTTTAAACCTTAGGAAGGGGATTGTAATTTCTAAAATGTGAGGAGCATCAATGTAATTTACCTAATGAGGGAAAAATTGGTATCTAAAAAAATTAAATTGCTGAGGGAGAAATCTGTAATGAAACTTTAAACCTCAAAGGGGAGATATAATTTCCAAAAAGTAAGAGGGGAAACTATAATAAATATAAACCTCAAGGGTGTCAGTATAATTTACCCAAAAAAAAAAAACATAAAAAAACAAAAATGAGAGAGAGATGATGAAAAAGGGCCCAATTTAATTTTTTTCATTAGTCTACCAAGTTGACCTCTTTTGTCAACTCGATTCATATAATTCTAATTGTAGCAATTCTACTTTTGAATTTTTTAAGTCATGTCAATATAGTCTGATTGATAATGTCACTTGAGAAAATATATTGAAATCAAGGATTAAAATAGTTCATTCACTCTACGAAAAATGATTGAGGGGGTTGCATCCAACTTAAAATAGGGGTAAATTACACTTAGTACACCTAAATTTTTACCAAAATCTCATTTTAGTTCTTTTAAGTCAAATTACAATCTCACCTTTCATCCGTCTACCGTTAACAAAGATGACGTAACTTATCGTTTGAAACATGTGCGGCATTTTTGTTATCTCATTAGCACCTTTACATTTTTACTAAAATCTCACTTTAGTTATTACATTGTCACCAAACTCTCACTTTAATCTCTCAATTTTCAATTTCCGTTAACTTTATTAATGGTAAATAGACGAAAGAATGAGATTAAAACTTGATCTAAAGTATAAGGATTGACGGTTATAATTGAAAGTGAAAGGATCGAAGTAAAATTTTAATAGAAGTTCAAGGGTACTAAGTGTAATTTATTCTTGAGTAATATTACAAACACACTCTTATCAATCTAGAAATTATCCAGAAATTAATCTCTACCACATCTCATATGAACCCCACATTACATAAATTAATCACCATCACACAACCACCCACCTAAAAAATTCTGAATGTGTAAGTTTGGGCTTTATTCTTTCCAAAACTAACACACTAGACATGTGTTATATGCAGATGAGAGCTCCTTAACAAACGGGTATTTGGACAGTGTCATAGACTGGACTCCAAAAGTGAAAAGCATCCGATTGAAGGACTTACCAACCTTCATTAGGACTACAGATCTCAATGAACAAATGTTCCAATTCACAAGCGGAGAAGCCGAGAGATCATCCAAAGCCTCAGCTCTCATTTTCAACACTTTCGACGCCTAAGAGGGCGATGTTTTGGATGCTCTCTCAGCCATGTTTCCCCGTGTTTATGCCATTGGTCCTCTCCAGCTTCAGCTCAATTCTTCGATCCTGGATGGTGAATTGAAATCCATTGGATCTAATTTTTGGAAAGAAGAAACTGAGTGCATCAAATGGCTCAACACAAAGCCACCAAAGTCTGCGGTTTATGTGAACTTTGGCAGCATCATTATTATGTCGCCGCAGCAAATGGCTGAGTTTGCTTGGGGACTTGCTGACAGCAACCAAACTTTCTTGTGGATAATCAGGTATACAATGATCAAAATTTCATTTTAGTATGTTGTTTTGACTAGTTTGAACAGAAATTAAAACCTATATAAATGTGAATATATATTCTCAATAATAGAATAATTGCAAGTATATGCATATTAGAAACTCATCAATAAAAGGGTTAAAAGCTTAGTTGGAATAGAAATTTGTCATTGTAAAAAAAACATTAAAAATGCAAAATTCTATAGTAGTGGGAATGAGAAAAGAAAAAAAAAAATTGTTGCGTTTACGGTAAAAAAAGAAAATACGTAGTTTTATTTTTTCCTATCTATCTTTCCTTTTCTCCTTTATAGTTTATCATATTCTCTAATAAATTTATGATTTTTCTTATCGAAAAGTCTAGGAAACCAAAAAAATACCATGAATGTGAAATATATGGTATATATTTAAAGTTCTTAGCGTGAGGCCACACTTTAAATGAATCTTGGCCATTAATGTTGAATTTTAGATATTTTTCTCGTCTTTTTTCTTCTAGGATTCCAGATTGTTGTTTTCTTAGTTCACATCTTTTCTTTGACAAAAATAGACAAATAGGAATGACCGTTGTTCAATATTCTTAATAACTATCGAGACAACTCATCTATTTCGTAGTATTTCGGTATGTTTCAGTGAAAACATTAGAATTTTGATATTTCACTTCTATTTCATTTCGGTTCCCTCAAAAATGAAAACATTTTGACTCTTTTGATGGAAAATAAACAAAACTTTGCTCCTTACAGGTATGACCTTCTTGTTGGCGAGTCTGCAATTCTTCCACCAGAGTTTTGGGAACAAACTAAGGAGACAGGTTACATTGCAAGCTGGTGCTCACAAGAGCAAGTCCCAAACCACCCATCTATTGGAGGGTTTTTGACACACAATGGGTGAACTCCACACTCGAAAGCATTTCAAGTGGGGTGCCAATGATCTGCTGGCCATTCTTTGCCAACCAGCAGATCAACTGCAGGTACTGTTGTGCTGAATGGGGAGTTGGAATGGAGGTTGACAACGATGTGAAGAGAGATGAAGTGGAAAAGCTTGTGAGAGAGTTAATGGAAGGTGAGAAGGGTTTAGAGATGAAGAAAAAGGCCATGGAGTGGAAGAAAATGGCTGCGGAAGCAAATGCGGCTAATGGGCCTAATGGGTCATCTTCATTGAATTTGGATAAGCTGGTGAAAGAGGTGCTTCTGTCAAAAGACTAAGTTGAGATCTTCCATGTTTTCATGAATTGTTTGCTTTTGATTGTGCTTTTTGTTGTCAAGTGATATTGCATATGCATTCTCAAATTTTATAATGTTTGAAGTGATGGTGCATTTTTATTCAGATTGTAATATGTGATAAAGTGATCATGATTGATCTCTTGCTTGTTTACAAGAGATATTGTGGTGTTATTAAGTTGTCAGTCTTATGGTTTTGTTATTAATAAGTTGCTATTCTTATTATTTGGTTTCTCAATGTACAGTTAGATTTTGATTTTTAAAATAGATGAACGGTAGGTATCTCATGATTTGATTATAATTTTATTTGAAACCAAACCAAACTCTATATACAAATAATTTGTTACTTGCTATAGACATTCAAGTACCTAATTAGTACCCATATAAGAGAGAAAGCCGAGAGGATGATGAGGAGGGCCAAGGTGGTGGGCAAAGAAGAGAGGAGAGGTTGGGTGGTGGTAAAGGAGATGACGGGGGGTTGTTGGAGAATAAATTTATACAAAAAAATTGCTTTTTTACGACGGCAAAACGCCATCGCAAATACCTCAAACGCTGTCCCAAAAGGTTTTTGCGACGGTAAGTGACTTTTTGCGATGGTAAGTAGGGGGTCGCAACAAAGGGAGTTGCAAAAAGGTTTTAGCGACGGCATAACGATGTCACCTTTTTTTTGCGACAGAAAAATTCTGTCGCAAATAACGCGTGAAAATCTGAAATTTTTTTTAGACAGCACTGTGTTGCCGTCGCTAAAAATATCTTTTGCGACGGCAATAAACCATCGCTAAAGGCGTTACGTTTCAACCAATTCCCTATCTTTTGCGACAGTAAAGGTGCCGTCGCAAAAAACCCTGGTTCAATTTTTTTTTTGAGACAGTTTTTTTTTTTGAGACGGTGTGTGCTGCCGTCTCAAAAAAAAAAAGTAATAAAATTATTAAAATTATGAAAATGACTTGTATTAAATGAAAAATAACTTTAAAAAAAATCGATAATTACATAATAATATAAAAAGTCCAGTATATAAATAAAAATTCATCCATAATTAAAAATATGAAAATGATCTTTCATTTTTTTCTTTTTGCTGTCATACATTGTACAAGAAAGACTAACTAAGCAGTAATATAGAGCTGACAGAAGAAAGGGCATCACTAGCATCATCTCACTAAAGTTTAGCAATAAGCACATATATCTTATTCACATCTTCATGTCTGCCATGGCACAGATGATTTCAAATGAACAGAATGGAAAGACAAGGGAAAATTATAGCCCTCAACACCGCCTTCTCCACTAGTTTCACACTATGCAGATATTCTTCCTTCAAGTCATCCGGTAGCCAATTACAAACCCTGAAAAATAAGGATTATATTAAAACTAGACTAAAACAAAAAATTTAAAACTAAAATGTGCATCCCTTGAAACCATCATTAGTCTAAATTATCAAGACACACCGACAGTTCTCCAAGTCACAAAATCATACACTTAAACGCCAATCCCGCAACAGGTGACAAACATTAAATGTCTGAAATAAAAGTCACTACATTAATATGGCAATGATGCTTTACTTGGAACTGATCTAATCCAAAGACAACACAAAAATGGTCAAACACAGACTGCTCAGTCCCAACTTTATTTTCCATGCATTGCATGATTGGTGAATTAGTTCCCAGATCATATGCTCTTGCATCATTAGATTTTGTCAAGTTCTTCCTTTTCTTCTGGCCAAACTTTGATGGCGTGTTACCTTCAAAGCCTCCAGGCAAATAATAAGTGCTTGTTTCACCTTCATCCTCTTCATATGCACCACCTTGAGATACAAAGTCTAAAAATTATGGAACTAAAGTTACTGAGTATACAAAATTAATCAACAAGAAAAGCAGAAAGTTACCATAAAAGTCAAAGCAATACCTGCTGCAGTATCATACATAGAAGTCTCTACTTCTTCTTGGATGCAACTGCCAGTTTTCTACGAAGAAAAAAAAAAGAGAGAAGAGAAAGATTCAAATGAATAAACTAAAGGAACCAGGGGGAGAATGATAAAAATTTAGGCCTCGTTTGGGAACAGGCTAATTTAGTAACTTTTTTGCTATTTGGCTAAAATATGAGCTAAAAAAAACTAGTATGTTTGAGATGATTTTTTGGCTTTTTACGAAAAGATGTGCAAAAAGAAGAGAGAAAAGAGAATCTTTGACTTTTTGGTATGAGTTGTTGGCTTTTTGACTAATTTAGTAACTTTTTGACTTTTTGACTAAAAAGTTCAGTTGCCAAACGAGGCCTTAAAAGCATAAAAATAAAGAAAGCAACCAGTAGCATAAGTTTTTGCCCATCAAACTGTACGAAAGAACATGCTATATGAAGAATGATATTCATGTCATCTCCAATTATATATTTTTTTGCCATAGAATATAGTAGGTAGAAGAGGACTGAAGACCTACAATATCATACGTCAGGACTCCTAAAATGTTTAAGGAACAATAGCCTCCTGGTACCTGTTTCATGTGCATGATTCTCTTGACTGGAATTTTAAGTTAAAACCACAAATATTTTCACTAATTCCGCTGACATCACTCACATTAACACCACTCCATCTAAGCTTGCAGTACACTCCACAATCTTTACTCATCCTACTCGCCTATTCAGTAACAAAATGAGGAAATTCATGGGCCTTGAAATACTTTTTTGACAAGTAAAGACGGGGAAAAATTTGGGGAAAATTAAGGATTTGTTTGGTTTAGATTTTCGGAATATTTTTAATATTTTTAATGTTTATATAAGTTTAAAAAATTAATTGATAGAAAATAATTGACATAGAAGTTGTTTGAAAAAAAAATGATTTGAAAAAAAAAAAATTCAAAAAAATTACTTAAAAAAAATTAATTGAAAAAAAAATATTTTTTTATTTGAGTATTTTAAAAATAGTTTGGTTATGACTGTTGATAAAAAATACGGATATCGAGTTATGAGTTATGTGTTTGATTATCAATTATAGGTTGAATTAAGTTTTGAAAACTCATTACTAAATAAATTTTCTTATTTCACATGTCACATCAAACTTTCAAAATTTAATCCCACATACAATTCAAAACTCAATTCAACACTCTATTAAAAAAACCATAACTAAACATTGTTTTTGTAGTAAAAGAGAAAGAGTGGCAGTAGTGGTGAAGGTGGTGGATAAGAGGTGGTGGTGGTGGTGGTGATGGCGAAGGAGATTAGTGATGAAGTTGTGGTAGTGGTATGGGAGATGGAGTGGCGGCGATGGATGAGAGGTAATAGTAGTAGTAGTGGTAGTGGTAGCAGTGGTAGTAGTGGTAGTCGTACAGGTGAAGTGGTGACAGTGGAAGTAGTGGTGGTGGTGGAATGGCGTTTGCAGTAGTGGTGAAGGTGGTAGAGGAGATGAGTGGTAAGAGAGAGAGTGACGAGTGAGAGACAAATAAAGGAGAGAGAGAGAGAAAGAGAGACAGAGTGATGAGCGAGATAGAGACAAAGTGGTCGCTAAAAGTGCATTTTCTTGTAGTGGATCAATAAATCGAGAGGGAGCTTAGTAAATAGAGAAGACGGGAGGGAGAGAGTGAGCAACGCAAACATAGTGAGAGAGAGAAAAAAAAAGAGAAAGAGATAGGGAGTAAGAGACAGAAAAGAGACAAAGAGAGAAGAGAGATGGACGAGAGAGATGGACGAGAAAAGAGATGATCGAGAGAGACAGATGAGAGATGAAAGAGATAGAGAGAAGAGAGATGGGCGAGAGAGATAAAGAGAAAAGAGATGAACGAACGAGACAGAAAGAGAAAAGAGATAGATGAGTGAGAGACACAGAGAGAGAGAGAAACAAATAGACAGACAGAGAGAGAAGAGTGATGAATAAGAGAGAGAAAGAGAAGAGAGAGATGAAGATGAAAAAATGGATGAAAAGATATAGACAAAGAGAGAGAGAGAGAGAGAGAGAAAAGAGTGAAAAGAGATAAACGAGAGAGAGATGAGCGAGAGAGCGAGAGAGATAAAGAGAAGAGAGAGAGAAGAGAGATGAGAGAGATAAAGAGATAAAAGATGGACAGGAGACACAGAGAGAGAGACAGACAGACAGACAGACAGACAGAGAAGAGTGATGAGTGAGAGAGAGAAAAAGAAGAGAGACAGAGACATAGAGAGAAAGAAAGAGACAGATAGACAAAAAAGAGTGATGAGTGAAAGAGAGAGAGAGAAGAGAGACAGAGACAAAGACAGAGACAGAGAGATAAAAAGATGAAAAAATGGGTGAAAAGAGAAATGTTCAAAAGAGTAAGACGACGTCGTTTTTATTTTTTTATTTTTTTTTTTGCAACAGAAAAATACCGTTGCATTTATTTAAACCATTTTATGACTATATATATATGAAGTCGTCTCAAAGCCACAATATATATACATATATATATATATATCTTATTTTGTGTGCAACGGTACCTATTACGGTCGCAAAAAACTCTTCTTTTTTTTTGGCGATTGCAGCTGGTACCGTCGCAAAAATTCTATTTTTTTGCGACAGCAATCTCTACCATCGCAAATACTCTATTTTTTTTTGCGACAGCAATTTCTGCCGTCGCAAATACTCTATTTTTTGCGACGGCAAGTTATGCCGTCTCAAAAAGTCACATTTTTTGGCGACGGCAAGTTGTGCCGTCGCTAAAAGTCATTTTTTGCGACGACAAATGTGCCGTCACAAAAAGTTCCGTCTCATAAGCCCACTTTTCTTGTAGTGAAACTTGAACCTTCATCCCCTCTCCAGAAACTGCCTGAAGATGGAAGAAGAGAATGAGGAAAGCAACCATGAAGCTTCTTTGAAGCTCACCAAGTAAGAAACTTAAAAGGTAAGAAACTAAATTCAAACCACAGTTGTGAATTCAATACATGTTTGATACACGGATTAGAAACCTATAAATAGATGGTTAGGTTGTTGTTATAGAAATCAATTACATAATTAATAAACCCATAAGAGATTTGAGGGATAGAGAGGTAGGAGACAAAATCCACAGATTGTAATTATTCTTTTGTTTGAAAATAAATTCATTCAATTGTTTGTGTGTGAGACATCATAAATTCATAAAAAATACATATGCACCCACTATCAGAGGTATCAGAGCCTAGGAGGCTGAATTTCTGCAAAAACAAAGGCAAAACAGAGCAATTTTCAGAGTTGCCTAGAAATAAAAGTTGTCGAAATCAACTTTTGATCATACCACGTTGAAGGTCTCGTCAAGACACGTAGGAAAAAACCACATCGATAACCAAACTTCGAGGAAGCCGCACGTGCCACGCGCCGACCGACGCCATGACTACGCGCAGCTGATGCGCCCTAAGTGCCCTACGCGCGCCAGAAGAAGATAGCGCATGAAAGCTGACGTCACACCCCTAACGTCATCAACTCCCACGTGCACACCGAGCCACGCCACAAGTCGAGTCGTGCACTGACAAACCGCTAACGTCACCTGACGTTAGCCTGACACATAGAAATTATCCAGTGCTTCGCGTGCCATATTTTTCCAACAGATCTGAACCGTTAGTTTTATTTTAGCTAAATCTAAGCCATCCAAAGTTCAATCACAATGATCCAATACTGTTTTCCAACTATTTGGACCATTCTGCACTCATCCGTAAGGACAGATTTTGGAAATTCAATTTCTAAAAATATTTAAAGATTAAAGCAAGCTATCCGATGGCATCTACATGCAATTTCTTCTAACCTCAGTTTCCAAAATTAGACAAAGGCAATTATGAGTGTTGAAGTATACAAATGAAGGTACTTCTATCATCCCAAGATTTATGGGTTTCAGTGGAGCACGGATATAATGAATTAGCATCCAAAGAAAATGAAGAAAATTTGATAGAAGCTCAGAAGACCGCACTTAAAGATGCAAAGACAAAAGACAAGAAAGCCTTATATTTGATATATCAAGGCATAGATCCAACTACTTTCGAAAAGATCTCCATTGCATGCACATTAGAAGAAGCATAGAAAACTCTTCAAAAGGCAAATTGAGGAATTGAGAAAACCACAAGGATTCAACTCCAAGTCTTACGAGGAGAATTCAAATTATTGCAAATGAAGGACAATGAGTCAATTTCTGAATACTTTACTAGAATTTTGACTATTGTTAACCAAATTAAAAGACTTGGTGACAAGATTGAAGAAATTTGAGTTATTGAAAAGGTTCTTAGATCACTTTGTTCTAAATTCGAACATGTGGTTGTTGCCATTGAAGAATCAAAAGATTTTAACGACTTGATAATCGATGAATTGCAAACATCGTTAGAAACTCATGAGCAAAGAATCAATAAGAAGACTGCACCAAGTTCCTTTAAGCAAGCACTCCAAACAAAGTTTTCGATAAAAGGAAGAAGGGAAACATCAAATCAACAAGGAAGAGGAAAATATGCCCAGTACAATAATACAAGACGTCCACAACAACAATGTCCAGAACAACAACATGATTATGGAGATCTCCGACCATCAACAATAAACAGTCAAAGAAGTCGAGGAAGAAGTCAAAACACAAGACCACAAAGATATGATAAATCTCAGATTCAATTTCATGTTTGTAAAAAATTTGGACATTATGCTACAGAATGTTGGTATCGAAATACCAACAATGAAGAAAAAGAAGTCAATTATAGTGATGTTAAACAAGATTCCACTATGCTACTGACATATGATGATAGTGGTGAAGCAAATCAAAATAGCTTATGGTACCTTGATTTTGGTACCAGCAATCATATGTGTGGCAAGAGAGAATTGTTCGTAACACTCAACGAAAGTCAGCAAGGAGAAGTCACATTTGAAGATTCAACAAAAAGACCCATGAAAGGCAGAAGAACTATCGACATTAAGTTAAAGAATGGAGAACAACAACATATCAACAATGTTTATTATGTGTCAGATTTAAAGAGTAACATTCTGAGTTTGGGTCAGTTACTCGAGAAAGGCTACAATATCCACAAAAGAGAGTTAGGATTATCTATCTACAATCAACACAACAAATTGATCACTTATATAAACATAACCAAGAATCGCATGTTTTCTCTCTATATACAAGCCAGCAATGCTATTCAATCCAATTGTTACAAAGCCAAAATCGTAGATGACA